GGAGGATGCTAGGTGATATAATTTAATGTCTAATAAACAAGTGAGTAAATGTTATTGTTGAGTTTTTTATAATGTAATTATTATTTATATTATTTTAGTTTCAGAAATTATGTATTATATATTTTAAATAATAGGTATGGAATTTAACCATTTTCTTTTAATTTTTAAAAAATTTTATAGTCACATATTTTGGCTTTAGGAAGGAGTATTTCTTTTAGGAAAGGAGATATTCGAAAAAATCTGGAGTGCAGATTTATATTTTGGTATGATTCAATAGTGGCACTCTAGAGAACTTTCTGCCTAAGTTACTTTCTCTTTTAATAAGTTTGACATTCTTTAGATTGAAACTGTGCTTGAACTTATTTCTATGACTAATGCATTTGATAAATTGTTGGGTATAAGATCTGTTTTGTGTGCATAGATCTTACAGATATATTTTTAGTTATATTGAAATTTTTACACACCTACACATATATAAACACACACATATGTAGTGCAAGATTTTATGATCAGTTTCTCACACAAAAAATAAAGGCTAACACAATGCACAGGTAATTTTTTGAAGAGGTTAAAAATCATGCATGTTCAGTGACCAATTGCACTATACACAGGTAAATTATTTCTGAAAGGCTTAAAATTCATACAAAAATATTCAGTCGGCTTATACAAGAATATATACTTTATCCTGAAGACCCAGTTTCTTTGGACATCTCAGAAGCATTCAACAGAGGTGGCATATTGGTCTTCTTCCCAAGTTGAAAGGTTATGGTATTTCTGGATGAATTTTTGAACGGATTCATTCTTTCTTATCAAATCATGAAATGAAAGTTGTCTTAAATGGCCACTCTTCTAGATCTCTTTGTACTAATACAGATGTCCCCCAGGGCTCCATCCTTAGATCTACATTGTTCTTAATTTTCATCAATGACCTTTCTGATGACATCAGTTCTCAACTTGGTATCTATGCTGATGACAACTATTTACTTGTGTCTCAATACTAAGTCTGATAAGTTTGATATGGTCAAATTGGCAGCTGATCTCAAAAATTACCTACAATCTGCTGTTAGGGAATGGTTTGTTAAATTTAATGCTTGCAAAATAAAACTTCTCTCTAGTAATCATCTGAGAGAATCCTTTCTACTTTTATCAGTATGGCTGATGCTAACCTCCAAGAGGTTAGTGTCATTGTACCTTCTCGAGCTAATGTTCTCAGCTTACATGAAGTGAAAGATAATACTGATTCAGTTACAATTATCAATTGCTAAGAAAGTTGGTCCACTGTCGTAATAGACAATTTTTCTCATTCAAATCTCTTTTACATATTAATAAGTCTACCATTTGTCCATGCTTTGAATATTGCTGCCACATCTGGTCTGGTGCTCCTGCTATATATTTAAAGATTCTTGATAACGTCCAAAGAAGAATCAGCAATATTATTGGTCCAGACATGACACTTCGTCTTCAGTCACTTTCCCACTGTCATAATGTAGCTCCCCTGTTCTTTTTCCCCAAATAATTTCATGTTAATTGTTTGGATGAGCTCCTTGCTATGCTACATAGACTTGATAAATTGCAGTAACAGAATGGCAAAAAGATCTCATCAATTTACAGTTGAATTGGCTAGATGTAACTGTAGGTTCTATGCTAACGGTTTCTTTTCTCACACTTCTCACTTGTGGAACTCTCTCAGCCAACTTTGATCTTCAAAAATTTAAATGCAATGTCAATTGTTAGCTCTTGTCTTCTTGATTACTCTTCTTCTATTGTTCTTGCTCCTTAATAATGCTTCTCTTTTTTCTTATTCTTTCTGGGTGATAACTTTATCTTGCAAGATAAACATATGCCTACTACGAAACACGCACATATATATGTAAGAGGTGGTCATCCCAATATGGTGCAATGGTTAGCAAACTTGTCTCGCTAGAACAATTATAACTGAGTAGTATGTTTGATCTTTACTGGTGCCCCATATTTTCAGCCTTGTGCCACATCTAAGCTATGCTTAGAAAATCACCATATACATGTAAGAGTTGTCCAGCTACTTAACTATTTCTGCATCTTGTTAAAAGCTCTCTCTCTCACACACACACACACACACACACACACACACACATATATATATATATATATATATATATATATATATATAGGGTGTCTCAAAAGTCATGCTATAATTTCAGAAAATGTACACTTTGGAAATAGCAACCAGAAGAAATTTGCATGACATCGTCTTCTATAATTAGACCAATAAAATTTCCTAATATTATATTTTCCACATACAGAAACATTATTTAATTTGGTAAATAAATATAAAATTTACAATGCTTTTCAATAGTAGTGCAACTTTTGGGACACTCTGTGTATAAATATATAATATATATATATATATATATATATATATATATATATATATAAATATAAAAAAGAAAATATCCGATTGAATATTCAGGCTGGTAGAAAATAAATATACTGTTTAATAAATAAACAGAGCATCTAATCAAATACAAGTATACACTAGAAATAATGTTTAAGTAATAAAAATCAGTCAGATTAATAAATAAAAAATCCATCCCCTTTTTTTATATATATATATATATATATATATATATATATATATATATATAGGATCTGCAGATGGTGTAATGTAAAGAGAAATCAGAGTTCTAATTTCTGTCTAGCTTATTAAATTCACTTACATTCAAATGCCCTTGGGAAAGGTATGCATCAATCTCTTCACCCTCCTACTTATGTATTAAATAGTATAGTAGACTGGGTCCTTTAGCCATTGTTGGTAACCAGTCTAGGAGAAAGACAACCCTGAATGCAAAACTGGTCAGGTATGAAGTTAATAACTCTATCCTACAAAAGTGACTGCAAGCTGTGGAAACCACAGCAGTGCAGTAATGCCTGATGTGCTTAGAGCTGTGACCCAAGGAGTACCTCAGGGACTCTACAGGACTTGAGACCTGTGGCCCCTATACTTTTCAGGGAGTATACAGGACTTGAGTTATATAGATTTTAATAATTATTTTATTATTATTATTTGATTTTTATTAACCGGACAATACCTCAACTTCAACTCCCACCACCCATGCAGACCTGTGCTCCATATAACCTCATGATGATCATCAGGAGTGATTCGATACAACACATACACCTCTTCAGTGTTATTGGTGAAAATTTATTTATTTCTCTATTAGATCATGTTATTTAAGTCATGGCAATTATGTGTGAAAAATAATATCACTCAAATTACTGCTAAATCTGAAAGGAAAAAAAAAAAATCATTAGATGCTTAAACTTAATTCACATTTAAAACTGGTCCAAGTTATTGGAACTCCCTTTATATATATATATATATATATATATATATATATATATATATATATAAACACATACACGCATATATAGACACCTACATTCAAGCAAGTTTGATTAAAAAGGACTGACAATGTCTGTTTACTTTTTTTATTGCATTTTTCCAATTTTTTGCTAAGGTGTTGATTATTGTGCTCAAAGTTGTTGATAAACTGTTCAAAGTTTTATATGGTCTGATCACAAAGTATCTGGATTGTTGCTATGGTAACGGAGCTAAAGTATGGCATAGATTGACCTTGAACTCTGTCGCACATGCACAATAAGTTGTAATGTTCTTGCTCAATTCTGTTTATAGAAGTGCTTGGAAGGAAAGTGTGTAGAGTGTGGTTGTCTCACCACATTACAGAGTTTCCATCAGTTACCATAGCAGAGAAAATTGAACAGAGAATCTCTATCAAATTTTGCCAAAAGCTTGATCATATCTATGCAGAGACTTACACAAAGTTGCAGAAAGTGTATGGACAGGAGTGTATGAGCCAGACACAAGTGGTTCAAAAATCCTTCTATATGGCAGTGAATGCTAGACAATGTCCTCACAAATAAAGAAAAGACTTGAAGCAACAGAAATGTGCTTTTATAGAAGGATGCTGAGAATACCATAGATTGAACATGTGAGCAACAACAAAGTTTTAGTAAAAATGGAAATAAAAAGAACATTTATACTTAACGTCAGAAAGAAAGGGTTTAAATTTCTAGGGTACATAATGGGGAAAGAGGGCCTGGAAAATTTGATACTCACAGGGCATATTGATGGTAAGAGTAACAGAGTAAAGCAGCACATAACTTACCTAACAAGCTTATGTAACAGAAAAGAGTTTAGGAAAGAATGCAAAATGACAAGAGTCAGTCACCATGTCTAATTGTTGGCCGCGTTTCTCTTGTACCTTTTTCCCCTTGAATTCTTGTCTAGATTTATTGTATATAAAATACAATTGTAGCACATGGCCAAAAATAGGTGGGGGAATGAGCTAAGGCTGGTCATCATTTACTATCTTATACCTAGCTAATCAGATTTGCAACCCATTCACTCATTACAATTTGCACATCTACCAAAAGAACTTATCCAATCATCATTCAATCCTCCATATACCACAATACCGCATACTCTAAGGGAACTTTCAAAAAGACCACATGACATAAAAATTAATGATTGTAAAATTCTATATACAAAAGTCTGTAGATAATAGGTAATGAAGGGTCAGGGAATGAACCCAAAAACAAACTAAAATATCAAAACAAATACACAAAATAAAAGGATAACTGATGTTAATTGGACCCATCAAGCTCTCAAAAGTATTCAGACAGGCTGCTGTATTCTACATTTAGACAAAATCTAAAAGTTAATCATCTTTGATCAGATGCAAGAAAACGGCACATAACTTACCTAACTTGCTTGTGTAAATGGATGACAGAACAGAGTTTAGGAAAGATAGAAAAAAGATAAAATTTACTAAGAGCTACAAATGACAAAATATTGTATAAAGCCATGGTCGCTCACATCCTGAAAAGACAGGGCACAAGAAAGAAGAATTTAAGAATGATTAATACATTATCTATTTCTGATTATTATTTGCAGTTACCTTGATTTGTAAATTAACTGGAAATAAAACTTTCACTTTCAGAAAGCAGTTAATACAGATTCAGTATACTTGGACCAACAAGTCGATCCTTGGAACCGACTGAATGCAACCCCTACGCTGCAAAGTTCACGTAATAATGTCTTCCATCATGACCCATTGGCTCCTAATGACAGCCTGGATTTTATACTTAATGCTGTATACAACCACACTACAGGCTACATGAAGAAAAAGAATGAAGTTTTCCTGCAGAAAGAAACTTTAGAAGACATTGGGTTCGTATGAATTTGGGTCATTTTTTCACTTGTCCAAAAATTGTTGAGATTATTAAATTCATTCTTTATGTTACTGCCAGAATATTCCAGCCACTCTATTCTACAGCCTTCTTCAGGTGTACATTCTGGAAAGGAATGTGTGGATTATCACTTCTGTGGTCAAAGTGTCAAATAGTGGCTGATAAACTGATCAACTCAGCTTGTTACCAGTAATGTATGCTCCAAAGATAGTTGTATCATTCTTAACTTCAATCTAACTTCAGAGGATACTTCTTCCTTTTAAGCAATGAGAACTGCACCATGCTGAATTCCACACTTAGCTGACTTCCAGATTATTTGCATAAAGAAGGCTGGAGAATGGATCTGTCAAAATGTGGTGATAAAACCAAAAGCAACAAAAAGAATCAGTTCTATATATTGAACAACTCTTGGAATGATAATGACTCTTATAGAAGATAAACATAGAATGGTTTCATTGAAACCTTGTCATAACAACAAAAGCAACACAAAAGAAATGCTTTCTGTCTGAATTTTTTAAGATTAGGAGTTATCATTATTTACATGCGGACTATTCTCCTCATCTTTGTTGTTGTTATCATAACTTTTCAGCCTTTGTCCTCTATGGCCTTGATCAGGTGCTTCTCAATCTGGGTAGCCTTCAAGGAAATTCCAAACAGAACCTTTTAGATTGTTCTTATTCCACTGGCCGTCTCTAAAAGTGTTGGTTGGATCCAGTGACTTGACCCAAAGAGTTGTGAGTTCAATACCTGGCTACTGCAGTGGTGAACAAAAACATGTAGAGTTGAGTTAAAGGGAGATAACTGAAACATATGGAAGAGGCATGGAATGTGGAACTAGAACAATCTACCGAGGTGGACAAAATAAAAGGTCCAGTTTGAAATTCCAATCACCTGAAAAAGGCCGAAGCGTACAACAGCTGAAACATTGTGAATATGACAATAAAGTTGAAGATAACAGTCTGAACCATGTAAATAATGTAAATAATTACATTACCTTATTTATCTCAGAAATATAGACAAATATCTTGTCTTGTATTCATGTCTTCTAGTACTGCTCAGTTACTGCTCGTTCTATTTCCACTGAGTCCAAGTACACACTGCCCAACCCAGGGACTGAACTCACAATTACTATGTCACCAAATTCACAAACCAATGCTTTTATCCTCTAAGTGTGAAGATTACCAAGATTAACAAGCTGATGAAGGCTGGCAGGCACAATTGCTGAAATATTGTGGCAACAAAGTTGATGACAACAGCCTGTATGTAAATAATGTGACTAAGGAAAGAATGAGTTCAATAGTCTGAACAACTCTTGGAAATATGATGAATTTTACCAAAATTATGGAAGTTAGACATAGAATGAATTGACTGAAACATTGTGGTACCAACAAAAGCAATTCAAAGAATGAGTTCCACAAATGTTGTGGCTTGAGGAAGGTCTAAGGGATGCTAATCTACAGAAATTATTCCTTAAAAGATTTATGCTATTCTTTACAAGTGGACCAATTCATTTAAGTAGTACCCAAGTTTGCTAATGTCAACCTGAAAGCAAGATGTCTCTAAAATAAATAATGTGGCACTCAGTAAGGACCAAACTCTCTGCAGGAGTAATTTGATATGAAAGCCAAGATTACTCATCATCATGCTATGGTAGATACCTAATATTTCAATTAATATTTTTTTATTATTGATGTGAAGGAAAATGGAATTCCTTCATTATTTGGAAATATGAAGAAGAAAATACCATTTGGTTTATTTTCAAAATGTTTTTGAAAATACTAAATCCTAGACTCATAAAAATATTATAGAAAGAATAAGTTTCAGAGACGTTAAAAAAAAATTGTTCTTTTTTGTGTTTCTAGATTAATCCATTGTTAAAATTTTTATCATCTCTGATTTTCCAAAGATTGTCTTATAATAAATCATGAGTTTCAGATATAGTAAGTTCCTCAGATATTCTTTTATATTTTTTCCATTAATAGTCCCTACTTTTGGTGAGTTTACATCAATTGTTACTTTCAATTGATGTAAACTGGATCAATCTTTGTTCGAATGAATCAGTTTCCTCTCCATTAGAAGATTGTTTTGTTTTTTATGGCTTTATCAACTCTCTGCAAGTTATTTAAAGTCAGAAAATATCTTTAGATTGTAAGAATTTTTTTTAGATAATAATTCTTTAGTGATACAAGTCTTACTAATTAACCCATAGCTGGGTGAGAAGAAGTGAATTTCATACCGTTTCCCAAGAGTATTTGTGTGTAAGTGAATATAACGAACCCAATTGAAACATTGCTCTCTGATTAACAATTCTAAGACATTGCACCACCTTCACATTCAAGCTTATAGCACCTGGTATTACCAAACATTCACCCATCTAGGTACTGACCATGCTTGGTGTTGCTTAACTTTGGTGATCATATATCATATGTTTCAATCTGATGTAACTGTAAGTCTTCCATCAGAAGAAACACCTCACAGAGGACTTATTCCCATTGCAACCATATGTAAAGCATCATCTTTCTATCCAGATTTGGCTTTTGCTTGTTTAGTGGGTGTTCAGTTTGCTTACACTGTAATTTTTTTTTTATCCTATACTGTGGTAAAGTATCCACTTTTCATCATCTTTATTTTCATCATTTTCTTGTCAAAATGGAAAATATTTTCATGTTGATTTTTGCATATATAGAAATCACATATCAAAGTAAAGATGAAATATGTGCAAACCAGTTGAATGTTGAAAACTTTTATTTTCTTGTTGATAAGTCACTCATTTTAAATGAAAATTTTCAACATCCAACTAGTTTTCACATATTCCATCTTTATGTACTTTGTTTAAATATTTCATATCAATCATTTATCATATCAAAGTAAGTAACATAAACAAAAGCTGGTGCAAGTGAGTTTCAGTTCTTGAATGAAGTATTTACAATATTTTGGCTATCTCCTGTGTTGCATAACATTCATTAGTCTCAAGTGATATCTTTAATTGATCACTATCAACTGCAACTGGTCTACCTGCTCATGGAACTTTGCAAACCACTTTTAATATGTTTAATTATTTGCAGTACCTTCTCCATGAAATGCACAATTTTCTCACATTTGAGTATTTACCTTTCTTAAAATATAAACAAGAATAAATTGCTAAAAATGGTACTTCTTTATTTTTCAATGTTAAAATCAATAGATGAATAAAAAAACAAAGTTTTGCAGATATTTCTTTTAAATATTTTATGCTGATGGAAAGGCTGTTACAGAATACAAAAGAAAGCAATCATTTTGATCAAAGTTAAAAATAATTTTTGTCATCATCTTATGACAAAAACAAGAAACATTTTAAACTTATCCAATAGGAAAATAACATGAGTATATAAGACCAAACAACAAAAATATCTTTAGTTGATCAACTAAAGTTTTGAATATTTTGTCTCCTTTTATCAATTTTTCAAGTTATTTCTGACCCTCGTACAAGAATTTTTGTTGTTTTTAAAAATTGGATTACATCACCATTTTAAAAATAATGCAGAGAACGAAGTATACTGAAAATATGAGACGCAATAAAAAGTGACCAAAGTATGCTGCTGTAGTGTAACATCACCTGAAACCATATCTTTCTGAACTGAAAATAAAAACTAGATTATTGATTTTTCCCAAGGACATTTCTCTAGATGCAAATGGATTTGGATGTTTACTGTCTTCAAAGTCTTTCTTTTTTTGCTTCAGTGAACTTGTCTGCTAAATCATGTCAATCATCATTCCATGATTTAACCGTTAAAATCCACAAAACTCAACCGTGTAACTGCTAAAACTCCATCACTTTTTCATTTTTTTTATTCCATAATCTTACAGTCGTAAATTAAAGAATCGAGAGAAAGTTGAGCCAGTTGTGATATCTGATCTGGAACATCCACTGAAAGTTGTTGAGATAGGCAAAATGGAAGACTTCAACAGTATTAAACTTGCAATAGGTTTGTATGACATTTCATTTCTATTTGGTGTTTACAAGTAATGGAAGGGGTTTTTAAGCTTGTATTGAAAGGATTTATTTGTGAAAACAGCTCAGTGTATTTAAAATTCTTTTACATGAGTAATAATTGTATTTAAAGAATTTATTTGAAAAATGACTGACAGTATTTTTTGAATTTGCAAACCAGTTGTAGGGATGCAAAAGGGAATTTTTGAAAGAAATTTTTTAAAAAATTTGCTGAGTCTACTTAAAAAGTTTAATTTAAAGGAGTAATAACTTTATTGTAAAGATTTATATGAAAAATTAATTCAGAGTATTTATAGATCACAACATCTATCAGGGGAATGAAATTTAAATTTTTATTTTTGCATTATTCCAAAATTTTAACATATCAGCAGATAGCTATTAATGTCAACAGCCGAGCACAAATAGTTATTAATTAAAAAAATTAGTAACTAATGTATAATATTATCTATAACTACATGTACAAGAATGTTGTATTCGATGAAGTTAAAAAATAACCACAAATACGTAAAAAATGCATATATTGTTGAAAATTCCTTTTACCACAATATAGCTATTTGTGCTATGTTATAATGCTTATTAACTAAACAATAATAATACTGAATATTTTTTTTAAATCATTAAAGTATATTTAATCTTATCTCCCTAATAGCTGTCATGATCTGTTATTTTTTTTTATTTTTACAAGTTTAATATAAGTAATGGGAGTGATATGCAAGAAAGTAATAGTCCCAGTTTTTATTTCCCTGTTATATGTATTATTATATCCATGGTATAGTTATGCATAATAGGCAAAGATCTAAATGATCATAATGGCAAAACCGGCGGAAGAGGGCAGTGCCAGTCGGGCTGGCATAACCAAGACAGACCTTGATAGATCAAGCATCTGTCAGCCCAATGCAACCAGGTTTGCCAGATCTCACCAGTCTCAGTCTCCTTTGAGCCATGAGGGAGGCACTTCTGAGCAAGTGTGGGCTTCTCTGCTGTGCAGAGTTGTCCACCAAAATCAAATTCATGCGAATGACCTCATCAAACTCTTTCATTCCAAGCCATCTCTGCCACCAGGGGAGAGAAAGAGAATAGGGAGAAAGGATGACAATCCTAATGCTCAGATATGAGTGGGTGCTGACAACAACAACAAATAACACATTGATAGATGGATGGAACAGAATAGCTGAAAGAAAGGAATGACTCCCATTCACAGAGACTTTTTATATCGATATATATACATATTCACTAATTTGTCCCACACAGAGCAATTATAAAACGTATACAACAAGCAGTGTGAAAGGGTTACAAAGAGAGAGACTTATTTGTAATATTCCACAATATGAAAAATGTGCTGGTTGGTGGTGTCTTCTTTGTACCTGGTAAAACCATGTGGTTTCCTCTGTATGTCCTACCGCTGGGGACTTGTCACGTTGGTCTTCTTTCAAGCTTACATAGTAACTCGTGTGGGCAAGCATGTCTTGACTTGAAGAGTGCTGAACTGATATGAGTCACCAAATGTCATGTGACCCTCATCCTTTCATCTCAGTCAAAGGGAGATAATCACCTTTTACATCCCTACAACTGTATTAAAATAATTTATCTGAAAAGATTACGTCTTTTTTTTCAGCTTCTGTAAAAGAAAATTTCTATTTCAGATTATGTTTTAAGAACAACAAAGTAATGGGTTAATATTCTCATTATAAACTTAATATTAGGAATGTTGCATTCTGTGTCATCTCTGGCTTCAATTCTCAAAGCCCCGACACATCACAGACTACAACAATGGACAATTTTCTATTTTATTTGCTTTATTTATGAGAGTCAGTAGTTGTAGCATTATTCGTAAGTAGAAGTTAAAAATGGGAAGGAAATTGAGTCTTTTAATCTTTCTAGTTAACTGCCTGTGCCTTTTTGGTTTTGTATCAAAACTTAAACAAATTCAATCTATCACTGTGAGAATTCCACACTCATGAGGTTAAAACTACTCTCACTCAGTTTGGGACATCAGAGTCCTGACCAGTAGTTTGCTATTCTACGCCAGCTTATGCATTGTGTCATAATAAAAAGTGGTTATCAGCTTTTTATCAAAGTTGTTTCCAATTCAAGATGTAGCTTGTTTTGTTTGTAAGCTCTTTTTTTTTTTTTTAAATTCAATGTTTTGCTTTGCACATGATATAAATAAGAACACTGTGCTGAATTATGGGTCACACTTTAAACGCCTTCATTATCTTTCTCTGTTCTTGTCTTCAGGAATATTATATATATATATTATGAAATATACAAAGTCCGACAATTATTTTAAGACATTTTTATGTTTATACATTATTTTTATAGATACAAATATCTAAGTAAATGCTCTGTTTATAATAAACAGTATTAAACAACATGTACCAGCCTGAATGTCTGAGAAATTTTTATAGACACTATTTGTTCCCCCATCAGGAATCGAACTTGTATCGTATACTGAACCATCATATAGCCTGGCATGCCTTTAACATTTGGCGTTTGGTTAGCAAGGTTGATTTTACTGTCTTTAAACTAGAATCTTCCATGATTCTCTCACATACATTCACATCTGCTCATGGCATATCCAAATGTAAACAAATGATGTCACACATTATGAAATGGACAAAGTCTGACAATTATTTTAAGACATTTTTATGTTTATTTCGATTCCTGTCGGAGAACAAATATTTTCTATGAAAATTTCTCAGACATTCAGACCGGTAAATGTTGCTTAATAACCAATTCACCAAATGACCACAGGGATTATTGTGGGCAATGCACAATCACTTAATTGTTTATACTCATGTGGTTGGTGCAGCTTCACCAATTTAGTAATAGTTTAATTCTGACAGCCAACAATACTGTAGATTGATTGATTGATTGTTTTTTTATGACTTACCAACCTTTTGCAGGTTATTTAAAGCCAGAAAATATTTTTAGATTGTAAGAATTTAGAGGAGATAATAATGATTTACTGATACAAGTCCTACTAATTAACACATAGCTGGGGAGGAGGAGAAGATTCATACCTCTCCCAAAGGTATCTGTGCATAAGTATATTTAACAAACCCAATTGAAATTAGAACTCAGCTCTCTGAATTCCAATTCTGAGCCATTTTCTATTATATTCACCCATACATCCAAGTTTGCAGCACCTGGTATTCGCTAACAGTCACCCATCTAGTTAATGATCAGGTTTAACGTTCCTAACTTTGGTGATCATATAAGGATTGGTATTTCAATGTGATATGGTTGTAAGCCTTACAACGCTTTAGAAATACGAGAGACTAATAATTATTGAGTCAGAGGTGTATTATTGAATTGTTACTACATGACTTCTGTCAATCTGGCAAAATGGATAATCTGGTATGGTTCTGGAACCAAAGGTGCCAGAGAAACCAGTGTTATATACCTGTTTATACATATATACTTCTTGCTATATTTTTAATCTCGGAAATATGTATGTTTATCATTCCAGACTGTTAAAGGCAAATAATGTAAAAGTTGACATTGAATTATTTCAGGTAATGAAAAAATCATAAGAACAAGCCCAAGACACACTGGACAGATCCCATGAAAAATAAACTTAAAAAAAAAAAAAAAACCATGCAAATTTATTCTTCATAAAGGAAATGGTTATTATCACTAACATCATTGAAAAAAATTTATCAAACGAAATATTTTTAAACATACATATTTTATTTTATTGATAAAAATTATCTGGTCCAGGAAAAAAAATTTTATTGTCTCAGCATTCCCCTGAATTGGGGGTTGAAACAGCCTTGGCCCATGGCCATATTGTCATTGGAAAATATTAGAATAAGAACTCCCAGTAATATCAAGTTACAGATTCTTTAGGAGGTAATGCATTTACCTTAATTCCAACTTGTAGGACACCTGTAGATGCAGAGGCACTTGGTGTTTGGAGCAGTTGTTGCCTTCACTCCTGGGTAACCTAACCAGGGAAAATGTCCCAGTCGCATAATTCAGGCATGGATCCATTGTCCCAATGTGATCATATTGAGATCGAGGGATGGGTTTTAAGGGATTTGATAATTTAGATAAGCTATTATAGAACCCAACATTATTTGGACATCTTGAGCCTCTCCTTTTCATAAATTTGCTGTTGTCAGTAACATTTCAGTCAGTTCATTCTTTGTCTCTCTTCTACCTCACCAGGAAGTCTCTTTCTTCCAGGGACGTGGGGTGGGTACATTGAGGAAAGAAAACAAACATGTCATTAAGGTATTAATCAGATGAATTCATTACCACAGACATAGGTACATAAAGTACAAAAGAGGATACTTTGGGTGAGTGTTCCTTAACTAAGTAAAATTTCAAAAGTGTTGAAATCTGTATGAACCCTGGATATATCTTCAACTTTTTTAGCCCCCCCCCCTACACCATGTGATACTCCATGTCAGTTATTTGGAACTTATTCCAGACAAGTGAGGGTAATTTTTACCCTTCTTCTACCACATATTATCTACCATCCCAGATTTTTCTGCCTTGCCTTTTGTGAATGTGAATTTAACTCTTAAATGGTGGGTGTCATCAGTTGATCTCTCGTCAGGAATAAATGGACACCATTAATTGGTGATTAGAAGTTTTTCCCACAATACGAGCATCATTTGTTTATGATTTGAGTCTAAATGACTAATTAATAATTCTATGATTCATGAGGTTACTATTTATTAGTATTCATTCATTCCCTGGAGTATTTGCCTGTAAATTAAGCTGGAAGAAAAATCCAAAGACAGTGCCTATGTTTGCATGCAGATTTCTTGAGATGAAAATGCGAAAATGGTGACAACTTGGTGCAAAGAATGAATAGCTTTATTATCAAGGAATATTTCAGGCAGGTAGGCATCTACTTATTGCACAAGATAATGATAGCGTCCTGTTTGGTTGAAATTCAGTCCTTTTGTGACCAGCATCTGGAGTAAGTTAATTGTCCAATCTTTGCATGGCAGTCTCTTCTGCAGGTGTGGCAGATGAAGCTGAAATATGGCATGAAGATC